AAGCCTTGGAGTTATTGAGTGTTCATAATAGCGGTTACAGAAAAGGGATGTCATTTACAAGATGAAGTTTGATTCCTTAGTGTGGAAATAGTGAAGATACTATAAAGCCCCATATTTTAAAGTGCCATAAGAATTCCTCGTGTCACACCAGAACTGCACTTAACCTTCAGTATCTCAAGAGCAAGCAATAAAGTGCACATAGTGGCAACTTGATACTATTTGGCTTCATTTCAGTGGCACATTTAAGGCATAAGCCTAGCACGTTTCACAGGCTCTGTCCATGTGTTTCAAGTTACACAATGCTTATGCACCTATTTGAAATTGGGGCCTCATTTAAAACTGTATAAATTGGATGTGCTTCTTTGGAATTACTCTGGGATTTATTGCATCGTCACTGGAGTTACCAATTTAACCCTTAGAGTCATTTTGGTTTGCACCGTTTTAGCTAGACTGAGATCCACTCTTAAACAGTTGAAGTGTAAAATGGTGTCGTTTATTCTCGTTTTTCAAAGTAAATCAGTTTAAGGGTCACTGTGGCAACAACAAGGGGTCTGGAGTCCCAGAGATGCGTGATGCCTTGGCCGAGGCGCCTCCTCGCTGCTCGCCCCGCTCGGGAACAGCAGAACATTCCACTCGGGATTTGGAGCAGCCTCTGGGACTTTGCGCAAGGCTTTCCAATTTCAGCTTCATTTGTTGCTGCTAAAGGAAATGCAATTGAAAGTGTAAAAAAATGTTGGTAAACTTTAATGCAGACATTGTTCCTTGAAACAATGTATTTACCACTTATGTTGTGTATGGGTGTATGACAGGAGCAGAACATGGGAGCTTGCTAGGACGGAATTGGGTCCCCAGGAGACTTTTATTTATTCTGAAATGAAATTATGAGGTGCTGCTTATTTATTTTCACTTTTAATGAAGAAAGATTACCTATGGAAACGGGTTGCCTTTTCATACATCTGCACCAAATGATTTGCCTTTTAGAAATAATGCCTACCTCTGATTTAAAAATCAAATTATCCTTTTAAGCTATTAAAAGGATTGACCTTAACTGCACCAGTGCAATCATCTTGCCATATTCCCATCATTCAAATGAACCTAGAGGAAGAGCAATTATCATTCTCAAACCTTGCTTAATTATTGCCTGATTGCTTCTTCAACCTTTTCCTTTTAGAATCATTCTTCCATTTCTTTCTTCGCATCTTTTCCTACCTTGTCCCATAGAAACTACCTCCATTCCCTGCTACTGGGTTCTGGAGCATCTTTGTCCTGTGCCCTCCTGGGCAGTGTTTGTCATGCCAGGGTGGGAATTCCATTGACCTGACACTTCAGAGGTTAGTTCAATCAGCGGGAAAAAGGGGTGGGAAGAAGCCTCTGAAGGGTTTCTCCTTAAGCACATGCTTCCAGATGCTGCTCTTAGAAAATGGAACCTGCCTGAACTGTTGTTATAAGGGAAGAGAGACAGGATATGTGCATTATGACAATAAGAGAATAACGGCTTTATCACCTTTTTCTTTCTTCTTAAATTAAATGGAAGTAAAAAGAAAGATTAGTATCTTCTTTTTTACATATGTGTTTATGCTGCAGCCAATGCTCACCAAAAAATACTTCTGACCCTACGTATGCTTCTTGAGCATTTGATTTGTGTTCTCCTTCTCTTAGCAAGCTCCTAGGAAGTACTTCATATGTTTGAGCTCGATCATGTATGAACTTTTTATGGGCTGGAAATTAAACACAGAATGAAGAATCTTCATCCAGAAAAGAAAAAGAGCCTCCTTCTTACATCCCAACCTTGCACGAGGTCTTTGGGAGGTGCTGGCCTCTGTCCCCAGCAGCTTTCAAGGCAGTGGCAGTGCAGCAGCAAATGCTCGCTCCAGAGACAGCTGAAATATCCTGGAGTTTGAGTTTGCAAGATATGCTTCATGTTTCAAGAAAACCCTCAGATGTTGGATCTATCTGTACCGTCTTATTTTCATTATGATGAGTGCATGGCTTGTAGCATTTTTCTTGACATTTTAAGAAAAGAAACTTGACAATAAAGGATAATTACAACATTTGAAGATGTAATTTGGAAAATACTTTTAACTGTGCATTTTTTTAACAATATCTTCAAGCTATTGACATTTTTGGGGAGTAATTTAATTATTCGAACCAAGTCACTGTAATTTCAATAGCTAACTATATCTCAGGCCATTAATTTTCATCAGTAGAGTGAGTTATAGGGTCCGTGCTCTCAATTAAAATGCTAATGTTTATCTTGAGTTACCACGCAGTTATGCTGGCTCTAAAGACATTTCCTTTCTTAAGCATAAGGGGGAATGACGTCTCCCAAAATCACTGACAGGTAAGTGTTTACAATTGTGGTGATTTCAGGTTTAATTATGACCTTTCCCAAGATTTCTGTAGGCTAATTGCTTGACATTTCTCATTTTCGCTGGGAAGTACATGTTTTGTGCCCACCCAATTTATGTTCCTGCTGTGGCTTTGCTTGCTCGGTTATTCGGTACTTTGGCTCCTCATTTTGTGGAAATTTTCTGGGTCTCATATCCTCGTATGAAAGAAATAAAAATGTGATATATTTCCATTTTCGTAAATTATTGTGAGTTTACTAGATGGCAAATGTTTTATAGAATTTGTTCATGCAAATGCTGAGGATTGCTTTGGTAATTGGGATGTTAATGTGAGGTCTAATACTCTGATAGCCCTATATTCTGCTGACTTCCAGCAAGACCTCAGCAATTCAATTACTCTCTTAATCTCTCTCTTTTTATTTTTCTAGCTATGCAAAATGGAATGGCAAAATTTTTGTATTTCATGAAATGGTTGTGAAAACAAATACATTAAAGAACAAAGTGGTCAAATGTGATTGTTAATATGGATTTCAGAGTCACCAAAAATGCTGTTGAGCAAGTTATTATTTAAAAACCTAATGTTATTTGACTTTTTCTTGTGGGAATCATGGCATGAGTAGGGCTTATTGAAAAGTTTGAACCGGACCCTTTTAAAGAGCCTCATAAATTGAGACAGGGTACTCCAAGCAGAGGAATGGCATAGAACAGAGATGGATTAATGAGATATTAAAGCCAGCATCATTAGTGGATGATTTATAGATTTTTATCTTGTCTGCTGTGATTTATGAAGTAGATAGGCAAATTTATTACCTCAGGGTATTTTATATCTGATTTGATAAACTAAGGATTTGTAAACCTAATCGCCACTTGCACAGAGGCTCCTGAGAGAAGCTTTTGTGTTGCAGGGAGGTGTTTGGGACTCACCAGCTGCTGCCCGTTTCTCTCGGGCAGGGTGGAGTCGCTGCCCGTGTGCAGGAAGAGCCTCTCTGCTGCAGGAGCTGCCAGCATTTGGACTGGAAACGAAAGTTTATTCCTTGGGGGGTTCATGATGCTCTAGCATTTTGAGGGAGGAGAGGGGAGCAAAGCATCCATATCCTCACCAATAATCTGGCCAGGGTTTTTGCCTTTATGTTTTCATCCCATTTCTTGTCCTGAACTGCTGCATGAACTAAAACAGCCCTTTGTAAAATAAAAGCAGCAATCTCTGTCAACAAGTTTTTAGAATAATTTGCTGCAGAATTGCAGTGAGTGGCTATCAAATATTAATGGATAAAAAGCACACATAATGCATACTTATTTATATACAGCATTGTTTAAATTAAAGCTGTTTAAAACTTTAAAAGAGTATTTTAAAAATGAGGCCTCCCCAGATGATATTTTTAAAATTGTATGTTGGTCTGAGTCCATTTTTTAATAGACAAGTTGAAAACTCCTGACAAGAGGAAAGAGGATGTTAATGGAAGTATTTACAGACTGTTAATGACAGGATTTCTAGCAGGCCACTCTAATAATGACTGTTATTACAGGTTATATACCAATTTCTCATCAAAAATATATTGCAGAAAAGCTTTTAGCAGACCAGCTCTACATGACTGTCAAAGTTTGAAGGAATGTCTTTGGGATTCTCTACCCAGCACGAATGGGAACTGAAGTGATCAGAGAAGCTAAAGCAAGAATAGTGGCTGTGTTGCCAACAGACCTGCTCCTGCTTCCTCATACTCCAGTGACGCCTGGGACAAATATGTGTTGTCCTGACAGGACACGGGATGCTTGGACTCCATTTGGGTGTTTTGGGCAAAAGCCTGGCATACAGTGAAGATCACATCCCAAACTTCCCTGTCACTTTTGTCAAGCTATTTCTTTTTCCGATATTGCAGCTTGTAGCAGACTCTGCATATTGCATATCTTCGAGAGGGCTTTAATCTGCATTATGGTGGTTCGATGGCAGAATTGTGCGAGTACTATTGGGAGAGAGATCTCCAAATAGATGGTCCCCATGTAATCGAACTATTTGAAAATAAAATCTTGATAAAACTCTCAGATATCAGGTTTCCAGCTTTGTCTTTCTGTAGGTTTCCATTACACTTGGAACAGAAGATGTTATAAAACTTCAAAGGTGCATACCATCAGTAGTTAGGGTCTGCAGTGAAGGATTCTTAAAGTTTTCATTCTACATGCTCTGATAATGCCTTCTGTCTTCACCATATCATAATCAGTTTAAACCGATCACTCCCTCATGCTTTGGGGCTCATTTAAGATGCTTCCCGTTGAAATCTGCTGTCTGTGCAATGAGTTACCACTGTCTTTCGTTTTACACAGTTTTCAAGAGGATACGTGATGTAAAAGATTCCAGATTTCTGACTCTAGTTCTCCCAGATTCAGTTATGTGAAAGCAAGTGTTTAATATCTGCTAAGTTTAAATAATTAAGGTATACTTCACATCAAATAGTAAAAATCCAACAATCCTACTTTACCGGTAGCATCTATAAGCATTTGTCTTCTATTCAGTTGGAACGAGCGTTGATAGATCTCCGTAATTTGCTACAGCAAAGACAAAGCAATTCCTCTGCAGCTCTTTTATCCCCACACTGAGAATTTCTCTGTGACTCTGATGAGTCAGCAGAGGTAATTGGATTTCTTCTTTTCTGGCAGGTTTTGGACTGGATTGAAAATCATGGGGAAGCCTTTCTGAGTAAACACACTGGAGTGGGGAAGTCTCTGCACAGAGCCCGCGCGCTGCAGAAAAGACATGATGATTTTGAAGAGGTAGCACAGGTAAGAGTCTGCTCAGAATTCTGCTTTCTGGATTGATTGTGTTACTTATTTTGTATGTTAAGAATAAACTAATGTTATTTTGGGGTCTTTGTATATTTACGGTGCTCTCTTCAAACATCTGGAGCTGACTGAGATACTGTCTTATAGATTTGAAATCTAGCATGCACACCACAAAAGCAAAGTAGTTACAATCAGAAACTCACTATAGTGGCTCTGTGAAAGGTCTTATCACCTGTGATTAATAGGCAACAGTTTAGAGAACAGTAATGTAGTGTTGGGATGTTGAATAGGACAGTTGAGAGTGAGAGCTGTAAAGGAGAGAAATGAATTGTAGCTCCCACGGTGGAAACTGAGGACCTCTAGAATGAGCTGGAAAGAAGAGCTGGTAAAGAAGCAGGGGAAACATCAGTTTGCGGTAAGGGTAACTATCCTAATCCTTCTGAGAGTAGGGGATTTGGGAGTGGGAGGTTGTTCTGGTTTCTGTTTGTTTGTTTTGGGATGAGCAGCAGTTACTACAGGTAGCCAGATCTCCCTCACTGCACAGATCACAAAGATTTGCCCAGGAATTTTGATAAGAAGCCAAAAGCTTCTGCCTAAAAGCACACACATTTTCAATGAAGCATGGAAAAGCATAGGAGATATTTGGAGACCCATCCCATCTAGATTTATAGAATTTAAGTGAAAGAGGACCATTGATAATTTCTTCCGGGGACTAATTAGCATCAGCTTTAAAAAAAAAAAAAAAAAAAAAAAAAAAAAGAGAGAGAGAGAGAAAGTATCCTTCCAGATAAGAAAAGATCATATTTTATATAATGCATTATATATTGTGCCTATGATAAGCACTATATTATGCTGCAGCTTTGCCTGCTGGATCAGGTTAAACCTTTTGTTTTAGACTGAAGCATCATCTATCAGAAATTAGTCTCCTATGAAGGTACTCTGCCTGGAGTATTTCGGAGAAAATCCAGCTTGATACATTCTGCCTTACACAGATTTAATACTTTGCCTTCCTGGTGCACACAAGGCAGGTTATTACTCAAACAATTCACTATGGCATAAGAGATAAATATATTAGTGTTTAGTTTAGTCTTTTTTTTTTCCTGTGGTAGTTTTCCATGTGTTGGCATAATTAAATTTTAGATGTGTCCAACAATAGGAACATTATTTCTTTCACCGTGCCCCGAGGGAGAATGTTGCACTGTCTGATAGCAGCTACTAGCTAGATACACATTTTTTTTTTCCCTCCCTGATACTCCATTTATATTTCTTTTTTTTTTCCTCTTGTTTATCTCCCCTAAGGAGATAAATGCAAAAGAAGAAGAATTAACAGTTCTCAAATGCTGGTTGAATGTGAGTATGCATTCACCTAAGTTCCCCTTACCCCTATTAAATATACTTAACTCTGCAAGCATATTCTTACTAGCCAGTCCCTTAAATCTTGTGATGTCCTTTTTAGCCATTTCTTTGAATCCCTTCAGCTTGTCACTATCTTTCTTTTAATTGACTGTTAGCTGTGGATGGGTTGCTTGCAATGCTCATCTCTCTAGCAAACTTCAGCGTTACCTTTTAGCTGTGACAGGAAGCCTTTGCATACCAGTGACAAACTGCATAGCCTGAGAGCAACACTTCTAGATTTGTGGGTATCTAAAATTTAGTGGTAGCTGCTGTGGATTTAAGCACCCTGACAATAAGCTTGAATTTCCTAGAGTTACCGGCTGCAGTTTTATTAAAATGGACTTTAGGCTGGAGGTTGCCTAACCTCCATGGTTGGGAGGACCCCGTGGTCCTGTGGGGTCTCATCCACAAGCACTGAGTTAGTGGGAGGTTTGATCACCAGATCAACATTAGGTACCTTTGCCGAACATGTTCTTGAGTCAGACAGCAATTACTGGATGCAATACTTGGGTATGTGAAAATGAAAGTCTTGGAATACAGAGGAACTGAAAATAGGTGATCCAATTGTCCTTGGGGTCAAGCTATAGCTCACAATTCTGGATCAGATTTTGCTTATTTTTTCTCCCTTCTCCCGCTTTGAGTTGTTCCTCATTGGGAATGTAGGAAACAAATTAAGAGCAGGTGAGGAAAGACAGAAGTATAATATTATCTTGACAGTAGAGATGAGAGCAAGCTGTGTAACTTCGCATGGAAACAGCAGCTAAATTAACGATTGCTCCACTGGATGATGTAACTTAGATATTTGCATCCCCTCACCACCGTGTTGGAGCTATATGGGTATGCGTCTTGAATATGTAGGTACTAGTTTAACTCCCAGTGGGAATCATTGCACTTTTCTATACCCTCCTCTTATCCCTCCTGCTATATTATTTCAGCCTGTCTGGCTCTGAATAGCTTCAGTTCAGACACATTTCACAGGGTCAACTTCAGAGTGAAATGAACACAACAGTTGTGAGTCTCCACAACTAGCACACTAGAGCATGGATGTGGGGCCACCTGAGTTCAAAGGAAACTGGATGGTCGGGGTAAGGACAGAGGAGAGACAGAAGTAAAGCACAGGGACGTGGAAACTGCAGTTCCTCCAAGTTTGCTCCCTTCATTTCACATGTGGTCATCCTGCTATTCCTCACTTAGATAGCTCCAAACTGTGTTGTCCTGCTCTGCCTGGGCAGGTCTGAGTACCGGCCGTCACTCCTGCCTCAGAGGCTGGTTTATGGTGCCTCCTCGTGAGAAATGGCCGGCACAAGGGGAGCCCTGCTCCTTGGCCCGGCTCTGGTGGAGGCTTCCCAGGCCCTTCCCCGGTTCATTCACACCAGACCTCACTGCTAATTTATGAGGCCTGTCTGCACTCTGACACTGGAATGTGCTGCTGGCAAATGGACACATGCGCTGAGGGGAACTGAAAGGCTTTATCTGAGGTCAAGGACTTAAGAATATAATGCTGTTTGGCTTGGAAAGAGTAATAGCTGGGGTAAGAGGGGAGGCTGTAAATTTATCACACCTGGAGCTCTTCTGAAGAGGCATCTCAGGAGGTCGATTTTGTGGTTGGGGAATAAATCTCATCCCCATTCTGCTTATGACCTGCTTTTACTTTTCCCAGTTCTCCTCTTCCTGATGCTTAACCCTTTAGACATAGTCTGTACTGGATTTGCTTTAAGTTAAGATTAATTATTTGCCATTTTTCTCAAGTTAGTGAATTTCTTTGTCATGGATAGCGTTCACTGCAACAACTGGCATCATTTATCCCTGACATAGCCAGAACGTGTGATAAGATATGAAACAAAGGACCAACAAGCTTCTCCGTTCCCCTCATCAAGATGTTAATTACTTCTGTTAATAAGAATAAGGAGACTCTCAAAAAAGAAGAGTAGTGCTGATGTACCCAGTAAGATTGACAGCATAAGCAATGCATTATTTGTTTCTGTCAGTTCTCTGAAAATATCACTTCATCTGCCATATAGTATAAATTTACTTTCCAAAATCTACTTTCTTTTGACTCCGATATATTTGTTTTTATATCCTACTGTTTCAGGGAGGCATTTGCAAAGATCACACAAGAAGCAATATTCATGAGTTTTTGTAGTATTTTCAACAGGGGGCAAAAAGTTCATGTTTTCAGTGCTGCCCAACTGCACGTAAGGAACAGTAGCTTTCTGGTGTTGCTGTATGGAGGAATGCTCTGATTGACTGACCTGCCAGGGTGCGAGATTGAGAGATGAACACACTGCCTCTGTGTCTGATTAGAAACTTCGCAGATTCGTAAATCTGGATGTAATGACCTGAATCACTTTCCTGCAGCTGTGCTCTGAAAATGTCAGTGATTTTAGAGTGATGCAGCATGGGCAGTGGAAGGATGTTTTGGAGTTACTTTCTCCTATAACTGCTTTAGATGATGCTCTGGCATTATTTTCTCACTGTTATTTCCTCTGTGTGGAACACGAGCATCAAGGGTTTGACTCGTATTGAAAAGCTGGAGCTCCTGGGCAGGAGGTTTATATCTCGTGTGCAGCTGTGGCCGCTTCTCCGGCAGCTCCGTGGGCTGCCACCCTGCAAACGCCATCCTTGGGCACAGGGTCTGTCACCAGGGCCCTTATTGATGAGGCTGGTGTGAAGCAAATAGCACCCTGTGGATACAGCTGTGCCTGCGGGGGCAGCCTCTTTGCTTGTCTGGAATCACTGTGGGTGTGAATTGGATAACCACGGGTCAGTCCATAACTATTGTAAATCCAAAGATATTTTCATTTCAGACTCCGTAATTTTTCCTTATTCAGGAATATCAGGGCCCAGAAACACCAGGGTCTTGCTGGCATTAAAAAAATCAGATAGATGTAGCCTTCTCCACGTCTGCTGGCGATGAACATCCCTGGATTTGGGCTGATGAAGAATTAGGAAAGACAGTGGGAAACAACTCTATCAGGATCCCCTTAAATCCGCAGCTCCAGGGCTCAGTGTCTGTGACCTGAATGATCTAAACGAAACATTTCTGTAATTCTCCTGCGTGTTTGCCGTGTTTGCCGTGTGCCGTGGCGTTTTCCTGGGGCGTAGCTGTTCCGGCGTTGCGGCCCTGGAGCGGCTTTGGGCCTGCAGGTGGCACTCGCTCTGCGCGCTGAGAGCCCCACGGCTTTCGCGGCAAACAGCAAGGCTTCCAGCCAAGCACTGGCTGGAAACGGAGCAGGAGTGGAAGCTGCCTCGCATGCTGTCCCCTTGCTGCTCATCCTCCTGCCCCTGCCAAACCCTGCGTTGTTCGAGGTCACCTAGAGAAATAACAAGCCTCTTGGATTTGGGAAATGCAGATTGTGTCAGACCGGGCTTTAATGCAGCACAGTGCGTGCCGGCTGCATCTGTGCGACAGTCACCTGCTCTGGGATTCGTGGAGCTGCTTCCAAGGGTTTGGACCTCATCATACTCACCCATACAACTGAGTTTTGTGTTTCGTGCCTGTGCATAGTTATTTTACACAGTAATCCATGGGCACCAATGTTCCCAAGGTAGAATATCACAACTCCACATGTTCTGAATACGCTTGCTGTGGTGTGTGTGGCATC